GATACCCTTTTTGCCCTCTCTCTCTGCCTTGCCTTTATTGTGTGTATATATATATAGATATATTATCGCTTTTGTGACTCGTCAGTCCATGTCTCTCACTCTCGTTTCTGTTTCTCAATCTCCCTCTCACGCTTTCGCGCTCGCTCTCTCTCTCTCTCTCTCTTTCTCTTTTTTTTTTTTCTCTCTCTCTCTCTCTCTATCTATGAATCCATGACTCTCCTTTTGCCTCTCTCGCTTGGGGCTGACGTGCACATGGGCCTTGCATTGTGGCGTGCTCGAACATGAAAGCGTTGGGATCCTACCAGTGCACAGACACAACAATGCACCAGTGCACCAACAAACCATTGCATCCGCGCGCCAATGCACCATAATATTAACATACCAAGACCAACTCCAATTCCAAGTGCAATGCCAGCGCCAGCAGCACCCGCACACACGCGTCAGCACCAACGCCAGCACCAGCACCAATAACATTGACACCAACGTCGACACTATGACCAGTACCAACGCTAGCGCCACCGCCAAGCTTGACGCCAACGCCAACGCCAAAACCAATACTAATAATATCAGTATCGGCACCGCCACCTCCAATATTAACAAACACATGCCCACACAAACACCAAGACTGACACCGTTTAAGACCAAGACCATGCACACCAACACCAACACCAGCACCATAACCAGCACCACCAGCGCCAACACCAACTCCAATATACATACCATTCCCAGTGCCAACGCCATCCACACCAACACCAACACACCAACAACACCTCCCCCAATACAACCGACACAACCAGACACTGACATAATCATCAAGTTCAACTCCAAGTCCAGTACAGTTACTGACAGCAGCACTCTTTCCTCCGCAAACGGCGTACCACTCACATGCAGTCAGTTTCCAAGACGCGGAAACGCACATATTGCACAAGCATGTGTGGGGAGTGCGCTCATGCCGAAGACCGCGTAATCCCCGGTGGAGGGCAGGTCGAGTCTAGGTGAGCAGTGCAGGAAGAACACTGCGCGGAAGAGAAGCGACGCCATGCACCGAGCGAACGTAGCCCTTCGTTGCTCAACACTGTCTCGAGTGGTGGTGGCAGCAATGTCAGGGACTGTAGAGCAAACGACAAACGCTCTGCCACAAGCGTGCGATACGTACAACGGCCGACGAGAGGACCGATTTCAAAACACCATGACCAGTACCATCACCATCACCATCACCAATACCAGCGCAAACGCCAATGTTGGAGCCGATGCGAACGTCAATGCCGACGCCGGTTCCAGCACCAGCGCCAACACCGACAGCAAAACCATAACAAAGGCAGGGCTCCTCCGACGCCCTGCGGCCTTCTCTGGGGCCCTCCGCGGCTCTGGAGGAGGCTCAGGAAGCTTCTCGGAAGGCTGGAGAGCCCTTCTGGGCCTCCTGGGAAGGCCCGCCCCCTCTGCCTCCCCCCTGGGGGCGTGCCGCCGATTCCGTGCCCCACCCTCTCTGCCTCGCTGCTCCCTCCTCCTCTCTGCCTCGCTGCTCCTCGCTGGGCGCCTGCGCTGCTTGCCTCTCCCGCGCTCGCCCCCGCCCCCTCGACGGGTTCCCTCCCTCCGCCTCGCCCCCCGCCTGCCAGTGGAGGACTGCCAGGGCCATGCTGGGATGCGAGGGGGGGCTGGCAGCAAGGGCGACCGAGCGTGGATGGAGGGATGTTGGAGCCGGCCAGAGGGCTGAGGCGGCCCAGCGCTGGCTCCGACCAGCAGAAACGGGGGAGAAAGGACCCCCCCTCCTACTCCTCTTCCTCCTCCTCCTCCTCCTCCTCCTCCTCCTCCTCCTCCTCCTCCGCTTCCTCCCCGTTGCCAAGGCTGGACGCGGCTCGAAAGGCTGGTCAGTCTTTCGACCCTGGGAGGGGCCCGTGGACTGACATGATTTTTTGAGCGGATTCGCCCTCGCCCCCCTTCTTGACCGGTCTTCTCGGAGCCCCTCCGGCGCAGACCTCAGGGGCATCGATAGGGGGGGATAGGCATAGGGGGTATGTATCGACCCCCAATCGCCCACTGATCGTCGATAAGGGCCCGATAGCCCCAACCTGCCCAGCAAGGTGCGGACTCACTATCAGAGGCCTATCGCCGATCTATCGGCGATGTATCGCTGATTCCAGGTCGATGCATCCCCCCTATGCCAGTCCCCTCCTATCGTTGCCCGTCAAGACCCCGCGGCCGCTTCTGCGAGGGAAGATGAAGTTCGGGGAAGCGTAAGACTCGACTACGCCAGGACTCGGGCTAGCCGACGTTTTTGGACGAGCGCGTCCTGGATTTTGACGGCCCTGTTTTCGTGGGACGCTTGCCGCGGGAGCTCGCGTCAGATTTCAGACCAGGGCTCGTCATTCTCATCATGGCCCCGCCAGGCCGACCCGAGTCTTCTGAACCCGAGCCTTCCGTCTCCCCGAGAAGTCTCACGGGGCCTCGCAGGCACGGGGCCACTTGCCAGCGGTCTGGACGCCACGTGCTTCTGGACCCGCACTGGCTCGTGGCCACCGGGCCTCCGCAGTCGCCTGAGGAAGCCACGGGAGACCCGCTGTGGTATCACCGCGCCCCAGGCTTTAGGATGTGAGCCTCGTGTGGAGGCTTCTTGTGGACGTGTTCGCGTTGCAGCGGTCAGCCAAATGCGTTGTCATACTAGCGGCCAGCGGACGGCACAATTGGCGCTGCCATGACTGGCATTCCAACCGTGGCAGCGATGTGTTGTTGCGGTCGTTGCTCTTTCGATGCGTCAGCTTTTTGGCTAGCGTGTAAGCTTGCGTGCGCAGCATGAGGGGCGGACGGCTGCTGCTCGAGGGGAGGCAGAGGCATGCACGTTGTTCATTTCTAATTCTTCGAAAGTTCTTGGATTTTTTTTGGGCCAAGATCCTTGCATTTCTAGTTCTTCGATCCTGGGCCTCTTCCTGGCCACTAGGGGGCCAGGATTTTTTTTAGAAACGAGCAGAATTAGTAATGAGCACGATTAGGAATGAACGACGTGTAGGCAAATGAAGTGAACGATATCATAATCGAGATGGAGGAATCGGGGAAGCATGAAGTGCGGGCGTTGAGACACCAAAACGCTGCAGGAGATAGTGCAAGAGTACGAGATAAAGTACGGCATCACACCGGCCTTTCAGGATGCGGCCGTTCTGTTTCGCTCTCTGCTCTTGACGCTTCGCATCGACCCACCAGCCGATCCAGAAGCGATGCCCAGGCGAGGCGAGCACCCCGCAATTGCGGATAAAGGTGAGGGGGCGGGCGCGGGGTGGGTCGCGGGTGGGTCGCGGGGTGGGTCGCGGGGTGGGTCGCGGGTGGGACGCGGGGGGGCTTCACGGGTGAGGACGACGACAACAAGATCAATCATTTTGAGTTTGTTCGTTTTTCCCAACCATCCTGTGGTGTTGGGTCCTCGTTTTGAAGAGACAGCGCCCCGCGTCCCACCTCATTCCTCCTTCCTCCTCCCCCCTCCTCCCCACCACCCGTGGGCCCCAGTGGCCCCAGAGGGAGCTCCACCGAAGGCCCCAGTGGGGGTGCCCGCATGCGGTTCCCCCACCCAGGGCAGCGTTTCGTGGCCCCATAGGGAGCTCCACCGTAGGCCCCAGTGGGAGTGCCCGCATGCGGTTCCCCCGCCCAGGGCAGCGTTTCGTGGCCCCATGAGGAGCTCCACCGAAGGCCTCAGTGGGCGTGCCCGCATGCGGTTCCCCCACCCAGGGCAGCGTTTCGTGGCCCCATAGGAAGCTCCACCGCAGGCCCCAGTGGGGGTGCCCGCATGCGGTTCCCGCGTTCAGGGCAGCGCGTCGTGGCCCCACAGGGAGCTCCACCGAAGGCCCCAGTGAGGGTGCCCGCATGCGGTTCCCCCACCCAGGGCAGCGTTTCGTGGCCCCATCGGGAGCTCCACCGCAGGCCCCAGTGGGGGTGCCCGCATGCGGTTCCCACACCCAGGGCAGCGTTTCGTGGCCCCACAGGGAGCTCCACCGTAGGCCCTAGTGGGAGTGCCCGCATGCGGTTCCCCCACCCAGGGCAGCGTTTCGTGGCCCCACAGGGAGCTCCACCGCAGGCCCCAGTGGGGGTGCCCGCATGAGGTTCCCGCACCCAGGGCAGCGTGTCGTGGCCCCATCGGGAGCTCCACCGCAGGCCCCAGTGGGGGTGCCCGCATGCGGTTCCCCCGCCCAGGGCAGCGCTTCGTGGCCCCATAGGGAGCTCCACCGAAGGCCCCAGTGGGGGTGCCCGCATGCGGTTCCCCCCCACCCAGGGCAGCGTTTCGTGGCCCCACAGGGAGCTCCACCGAAGGCTCCAGTGGGGGATGCCCGCATGCGGTTCCCCCCCACCCAGGGCAGCGTTTCGTGGCCCCACAGGGAGCTCCACAGCAGGCCCCAGCGGGGTTGCCCGCATGCGGTTCCCCCACCCAGGGCAGCGTGTCGTGGCCCCACAGGGAGCTCCACCGTAGGCCCCAGTGGGAGTGCCCGCATGCGGTTCCCCCGCCCAGGGCAGCGTTTCGTGGCCCCATAGGGAGCTCCACCGAAGGCCCCAGTGGGGGTGCCCGCATGCGGTTCCCCACCACCACCACCATGCCCCACCTCCTTCAGCGCAGATGTGACAAGTGGATCGAATTTCTAGCAGCTCCGCCTCTCGCGGAGGTGCAGCGCACGTGGCCAACATTAAAGCAGGTGCTGCTCGCGTCAAAGCCCGCCTGGATTTTGACACACATCAAGACGATCGTAGGCGTGTGGGCCACCACACACAGGATCAAGGTCGAGATCCCTATGACCTGCCTCTTTGGCTGTCCTCATTGCCGTGACTCTTTCCCGTATTACCTCACTTGTCTCCGCTTCCTTCGGTCCATGTCTCTCGCTCGCTCTCTTCTCCCCTACGATCCCATCGATCGCATTGGTCTGGCCCTCCCTGATTTGCAACACCCAGTTTGCGCGTAAGCATGCCCATGCGCACACATTGCTGTGCTTTCAAAGTTCGGCACGCCGAGTCCTTTCCCCAATCTT